TGCCTTAAGAAATATCATTCAGTATTCTTTTTACGGTGGTGTTGGTTGGGGATGGGGGTTGGGGGAGGGTGCACCTAGTCAATGAAAGCTAACCTTGCCATAACCACCAGATCCAATATCATTAGTTTCTGAAAAATTGTTTGTCATTTTTTTGAGCTCCTCAAATGAAAAGAATCTTGCTCCTGTCAACTGTGGAACAGCACCACTATGTTTATTTGAGTCCCAGGATGCTGCATTAAAGAGAAGGATAGCAACAACCACCGTAAGATGAAGCAATAGGTAAACGGAGAAATAGTTAGTTCCAAATCTTACCAAAAGGATCATTCCTCCTATCAGCATCTTCAGCTCTTTTCTTTTGTCGGAAAGCATAAATACCAACGATTAGTGCTAAAATTACAAGGACAGAACCACCAACTGCTGCTCCAATGATAATGCCTGTACTAGATGATTTGTGTGATCCACTGGATGCACCTGGAGAAAAGAATACTCAGAGACTCAGACTTATAACTATCAAGTTCAACTTCCATAAGATGCAAGTTTCATAATGTTCCAACAAATAATTCAAATTCCTAGCAGTCATTTAACGAATTAAGTTTTTTGACCACCGATTAGAAAAATCTGTCTTTAAAAAAATAAGTTATTGATAAGTTCATTAGAGTTTACACAAACTCTTAACAGAAACATAGGAACAAAGAATGGAAATTGATCCATCACATGTATGCTAACTATATTTTTGCCATCAAGAGGATCGATACATTTTTCAGAATCTTGTACTTCTTAAGTTGAATACTTAAAATAAAACTGATATAATAATCAAAACAGCGGACCTATAGTAATTGCTCTTCATGTTCAAAGTCCTATAAGGAAGAGTAAATTCTTCTGTCAAACCAAGTTTGTGAAAACTTAATCATCAATACCAATTACTTCTTGGTTTTTCACCCACCAAATTTCTACTATTCTAGATTAGATAGCATATATAAGCAGGAGAAGAGAAATGAGCCAAAAAAAAAAGGAGAAGGAATAATAGATCTCGAAAAGTTCTATTACCATCGAAGTATTTATAGCCTTCACCAATGAAGAAGAAAGGTCCAAATGTCGACGGGGGCTTGAAAGTCTGATTACTAAGCACAAAACCTATTCCAGAAACTCCAGTTCGATTGAAAAAATCTTGGCTAGAAGGAAAAACTTGCAGGTGTATTACAAGGTAGTCATCCAAATTTTTTGTAGGGTTGCTGAGGGAAACTGAGTCGACAGGCAGTTGACGGTTTTGGAATGTAAGCATCAAAGATTTTTGGAGAGTCTCATAAGTAGTTTTGTTTCCTAAGTTGGAAAAGGAAGGAGCTCTGAAGACTAGGTTGCCTGTATATGGAAAAGCACATTTACAGGTAGGACTAGAAATTTGATCAGAGCTGCACTCAGTTGGCAAGCAATTTTCTGGTGGAGTAGAATATGAATCAGCTTGTTGAGCTTGGACACAGTAAGTTTGTGTTGTTCCTTCATTGCAGACAGGATTACCTGCAAGTCTGCAAAGGAAAACAGTAACAAAATAAGGTAATAAACATGATACAGTCAAGTTTGGCGTAGAACATAATCATATGGCCGAATAGGCTTAGACGTTTAAAAAAACAAGGAAGAGAGCTAACAAGATCTGAAAGGGATATCCTGGTCTTTGAGTAAATGAATCAATAAGATTGCTCTGCATATCAATGAGTTGCAACTGATCACTATACGCGGAGTCAATTTCAAGTGTGCCATTAAGTCTGTTTTTCCTCATATTGCTGTCAATAAGAAATGAGTGCATTGTCATCAAATCTCAGCATACTCAATCTCTATCGTTTATAAAACCAAGTTCCATGAAATACAACAGACACAAAGTGTTAGGGACACTTACACAGTCTGCAACTGGAAAAGGCTGAATAATTTAGCTGGAACTAATCCTTGGAGTCCTGTGTTTTCCATTGCCCTGTCAATACAAGGTCATTTATTAGGTTAAAAAGAACTTCTGGGAATTGAAACCGTAAATGAGAAAAATAAAAACTGTCCATATTCAAATGGATGCAGGCATATACTAGCACAGTACACACATGCACCTGCTCATGGAAATGCATACACACACATACACATTGAGAGAGAGAGAGAGAGAGAGAGAGAGAGAGAGAGAGAGAGAACATACACTGTTGTCAAAGATTGCAGGTCTGGAATCCATGATGGAAAATCTGATGCATTAAACGAATTATTGCTCATGTCCCTGCAAAAAGAAGTCCCACATCATGATAGTGAGATTAACAAATTTCCTTTTTTCCGAAAAAGTAACAAATAAATTGGGAGAAATATTTATAGTACGATTTTGAGCAATAACCAATTATCATCTCAAAGGGATCAAGGCACAAAAATTAGGATAAGCAACTTACAAGTAATTGAGGACATTCATGCCAGTGAGATTCGGCAAAAGACCATCCAAATTATTGTTTGATATGTGGCTGTGATACATGGTCAAAGCATGCTACATTAGGAAATCATAAGGACATAAGGTAGGTTCAGAAAATTGTTTCATTTTTTACTTACAGTTCATTGACATGTGTGAGATTGTTGAGGTTTTGTGGCACAGATCCGCTTAACGAATTCCTGTCAAGACGACTGTTGCAAGCACAGTAGCTTAGTTCACAAAAACTCACTTTGTATAGACAGTACTAGAAACATTACAAGATTATAAAAGGAAAGCCCAAGATAGCAATACTTACAGCACTTCCATAGTCTGGACAAGTCCTAATGTATCCGGTATATTTCCAGTAAGCTGGTTGTTCTCCACTAGCCTAGAAGTTAGAATATACGCGCATGAGGAAACAAGAAAGCACGGTCAGAAGGAATATTATTTGCTTATAGTTATGGGGGTAACTTATCATATGGAGAAACTTAACAGAACAAAATGTAGATGTACATGATAAGCACAAAAAGGGACTTGTCAGGACCCTTTATATTTTACTTTTCTTTAACTCTTTTTTTTCAAACATCCTAGAAAGACTCGTCGGGCAATCACTCTATAACTTGGGCAATGGCCAGGACCATTTTGCCTAGGTTCACCTAGTCATTTTAAATACATTGGTCTGTGCTATGTCATCCAGAGAAACATATAAATACCATAAAGATATGATTACCAAGCCTCTCTCACATGATTACTCTCAGAAGCAAGAGCATGCACTAACAAGACTATCAAAAGGTAAGCTAAATACTAGTGAGTCTCTCAAATATTTACCAATGTAGTATGCATTCAAACTATTTTTACAATAATTACTTACAGATGAATCAGAGTGAGATTAGAATGGAAAAGTCGAGCTGGAATTTCACCGGATAGCTGATTCTTCCCAAAATGACTGTGAAGTGATGTAAATAATCTTAGAAAATACAGTTGAGAGATAAAAGACAATAACAAATAAAGGAGATGCGTACAAGTGTTTAGTATGAAGAAGCATATCAAGACCAGGTGAGCTCCCACTAGAGACTGGAAGTGTTCCAGTAAGCTTATTGTCAGCTAAATCCAGCCAATAAAGCTTTGAAAGATAGCCAATGGTAGCAGGTATTCGTCCAATAAAGTTGTTAGAGTTTAAAGATCTGCATAATACAAAATGGGGCTGTTTTAGAGCGTTTACAAGAAGAAGGAATTGAAAGAACTCAGAAGTTTCATATACAGATAGATATGCTAAAAACACAATTATTTGGATTTGATGACGTATAAACACAAGAATATATAGCAGTACTGACAAACTCTTCGTGAACTGTTTTTTCAGTTTAGAAGTGCATTGCTTGTCCAAGAGATGGACCAAAATATGAGTATTCGTCAAAAATATTCATTCAAGATGCTTATCATTTCATTGATTGAAACGAAAACAGAAAATGATTATGTAATATGTATCTTTATAATGCTAAAAGAATCATAGTTTAAGCTGATATAAACATCAATTCCCTGATCCATCATATTCTGTACAGTGCAAACAACTTAAACCAAATAAATGAGTAAACTTCTTTGCATCCTGGTAAAATATGTCGCGTACTGGTCCCCCGTTCAAAGTGAAAAGTGTAGAGTACTTACAGAAAAACCAGCTGGGTGAGAGATCCAATGGAATCTGGTATTGGTCCAGAAAACCCACAACCAACAAGGATCCTGTCATGAAATTAAGAAAAAAATCAGCATATAATCATGAGATTAGAGGGTAAATGAATGGGACAATTATTCAGATTCATTTACAAATTTGATAGCTTTGTCAATTTTCCAATAGACTGAGGAAGAGATCCTGTCAACTCCTTGTTGTATGATAGATCCCTATAAAATGCAGTCAATACTTAGAATATAAGCTTCACAACTCATCCGAAAGTAAAGGAAGTGCAGGAGAAACAGGAAATGTGAAAGAAGACCTACAAAGTCTGCAATTCAGATAATCCTTGAATGTCTCCAGATAGCTGACCGCTCAAACTCATACTTGATAATGTTCTGAAAAATTGAGAAAGATGACATCAACCATACAAGTATGAAAATTTGATGTAGTTGATAATGGGAGGCGCGTTGAATTCTTACATAGAAATCACTCGTGAATTTCTGCATCCAATTCCTTCCCATTGACTCCCACAGGGATCTGCTCCAGCCCAATTGGGTGGAACATTCTGCCATGAATCCTTGAGAGACTGTAGTGCAGCAACTGAATACAATATTAAATCAGTTCTTCTCCACTAGAAACTTTTAAATAGGTCTTGACGCTGAATCAAGAACTGGATCAAAATACAACAAAAAATGCTCAAATTCATAATGACCTATCCGAGAAGAAAAATAGGAAGGATGCAAAGTTCACACCAGTTATACCATATTATGAAACCTTCTAAAACTATCAACTTAAGCCTATAAAAAAACTCTTCTATCCCCAATATTCCAGCTTAACAGAAAGTCTGAAACAATAACAGTTTCTTAAGGGGAAAAAAGAAAATAACAAAATCCATTCAAGTGCCTATTTAGAAAAAATGGAAGCAAAACACTGTATATTAGACTGCTAATTATTTTGCTTTTAGTGTTTCCCAAGGGATTAGCCAAAACCAAAGCAAACCAACCCATTTCCAGTTCCAGCATAGACGTTATAGCCCTACACCTGGAACCAAGAGAGCAGAATTTAATCATATTCTTGATCCTATTCCACCTCTCTGATACTGAACAAATTAAGTAATAGACCATTTTATTCAAAGATTTCTCTAAAATCAGAATTCTAAATCACCTAAAGGGACAAATTCTGAAGGAAAGTTAAGATTTTGAACACCAGAACACAGAGATAATCGAGTATTTCTATAAACTAATTAAGAAACATTTGATAGAAGAACACAACTAACTTACAATCATCAGGATTTGTCCATGCTGTTATTGCCAGAATATGTATCCAAACAACCAGAAAACAAAGCTGAATTCTCATTGCCAGAGAAACTACCATGTGACAAAGTTCAAGAAAAACACTCCTCTACAAAAGCTAGAAGAGAATTTCAACCTCAAATCCCTTTTCAAGTTCTGCTCCCCACGACCACAATATCTCTCAAAAGACAGCTATCTGTTGCATTTACTACTAGTATTCATCAATAAGGGGTTGTTTATTTCATTTAGCCAACTCACTGACTAAGTTTTAAAAATACAGACTTTTACTTCCTCCCACACAACTATCTTCTACGTGAAATCTTTATTTTATTTTGTTCACGTCATTTAAACACAATGACTGACCTCCAACTTCAAATTTTTTACCTATAAAAAATATTGGAAGGATAAAAATCACGACCACGTCGAGTTTACTTGGTCTTTAATTATATGGCCAAAAAAGTCAACAAATTACTTTTATAACTCTTTACAAGCTGGTTAACCCTTCATCACAGGCAACAAATATTGAAAAATTTCCATGATAATCGTTGACCATAGTGGGTGTTAATCGTAATAGAATATTAACAACTTGATTAGGTTTAGCATAATTAGACAAAGTCTTCTTCAAAAAAGCAATTTTATAATTTTTTGTGAAAATCAAATGTTAATGTCATTGTCAAACTATAAGTTATATATTTAAAGAAGTTGCCAAGAGGGACAAGTAGAATAATCCTCTACACGCTTTAGGGAAGTTGAACTCCATGAGAGTGGATAACCCATAAGCTAAAAAGAGATATCATGCAGCTAAGGGTTATATGGTTGGAAACAAGTTATCTCATGATTAATTATCCCAAAATTAATTATTTTGGGATTAATTATCCCACCCTCCATAGGATTTAAAAAACACTACAATCCCGGGATTAGTTATCCCACCTTCCATAGGGTTTAAAAAATACTACATTCCCGGGATAACTAATCCCAGGATTAGTTATACCATGATTTTGTCCCAAACCAAATATGGGATAAACTCATCTCAAATTTGATCCCGAGATTAATTATCCCTTATCCCTCGTACCAAACTGTTTTACCAAAAAGTCTTAAACTTTTTTGTCAAACTAACTAAGTGAATGATAATAGATAAATTCTAGTTAAATATAATAAGTTCTAGATCCAAGATTGGTATGAAATAACAACCTAGAAATCGCATTTAAAGTTATTTAAGGCCAAAAAGTGATTTAACGATATTCTTGTGAATAAATGAAGGAATAAAGACGAGCAATAAATGAGATAAATGGCAATGGTTGTAAATAAAGAGAATAATTCACCCAAATATATAACAAGGTGGATAAAGATGATGTTTGTAGTTATGTGGGAGTCAACTTCTCTAGAGAGAGCTTATCAAGATAGATAATAATTGAAATCCCTTTCTTTCTCTCTCTCTTCCTACTTATATGAGACATTTCCCTAACCTACTGAAAGTACAAATATAGAGAATATTCCTCCGAATATTCTTTAGAAATATCTTATAGATAAACTAGCTGTTTGGCCGATCTGAGTGCTCGACCTCGGCATTCACTGCTCGGCTTGCCAATGCCGCTTCTTAAGCATGACCTCAGCCTAATTGATTCTTGATTTCCCTATTTTAGGCGAGGTTTGTTTGATAAGATTTTGACACATACAGTTAGTCCCTCCGTCCATCGGGGTTACTTTTGAGCGAGCTCGGTGGGCAAACTTTGCCAGTTGCAATTTTGAGAAATCTGAGCACATTGGCCGAGGAGTGACCCTTTTTTGGCGAGGTGGTGATGTGGCGCTTCGAGAGCCACACCTGACCGTTGCGTCAGTTTGAAATGACATTGTCACACCTCCTTTTTGCGCACCTACCCCAAAGGATAAATGCGCGAGGGAGTTTTTCCAATTTAAGTGACAATATTCGAAATGAGATTATTTATTTAATTCAGAGTCGCCACTTGGGAAAGGTTTGGCTTTTGGTTTCCCAAGTCACCGGTTTATCTTGAATCCCAAATCGAAGAAATTTTCGACTTTCCAAATGAAGTCTGCGAACCAGAAATTCTAAGTAAGGAATTCTGTTAACCCGAGGGAAGGTGTTAGGCACTCCCGAATCCCGTGGTTCTAACACGGTCGCTTAAATTGTTATAATGGCTAAATATCTGATTTAAATACATGTTATGACTTATGTGCTTTTATTAAGTTTAAACCGCTTTTATTATTATTATTATTATTTATAGAATTGCAACGTCATGAAAATGCATCTCGAACCACGTCGCAATCAATGCACCCGTGGTTGTTAATACATTCCGACTCCGTTGAGATTCGAATTTGGGTCACATAAATGCGCACCCGACTTTAAGAAGGTATTTTAATTAAAATCGCGCCTAAAGAGTCTAACGCGTAATTATCTTTGGGGAAGGCAGTGAAATTCACTAAACAATCCGTCCCAAATTCTAAGTATTTTATTTTTCTTGACCAATTATTGAGGGCCCCGCAATTTACATTTTTATTTGACGAGGCTCGTCTTATTTTTTGAAAGGATAAACCTACAGCGACTACATTTCTATTATGTTTGTCTCTAAAAATGAAGGAAAATACATGCCAATTAAATTAACGTGCTTGGCCAGCTCCGGCCTCTTATTAATTATCAGATTAATTATTTATGAGGCAGAGAATTGTTTCATGCCTTATTCCATGAGCGAACATGCTTTTAACTTAATAAAGGAAATTGCATACAAGATTAATAAAATGCTAAAACTCACGCTAAACATTCTTCGAGTTGAATTTAAACTAACTTATTTAAACTAGATTAATGGAATTAACTATTAGAAGCTGCTACTAATGGGATTCGAACATGGTCCTATAAACTGCCTAACGAAATCCAATTTGATAGAGTCAGTTTAAATGACTTAGAACTATATTGCATCTTTTGCCAAATTAGAAACAACCTGCCTTACGTGTTTAAAATAAGAATAGAGATGAGATTTAACTATCGATATACTAAACACCTGTGCACTCTATGTCATACAGACAACTAAATAACTAAGATCAACAGTGTTAAACAAACTAAGTTTCAATTAAGTACAATCTACCTAATGTATTTTCTATTGAGTTACAAACTAACGAATTACACAAATCTAACAACATTTTATAAAGCTGTAATTACAACAGCAAATGATTAAACTCCTTCGCATATTTCATTTCATGCTTTTACTGTTACATCAATGTGAAATTCTAGTGTGTACCTGGATGTTGAAACACAAACGAAGAAGAAAAAGGTAGAGAAATCAGCAGCAACAAAAGAATGGCAGCAGCAACAAACTATAGTCACAGCAGCAGTAGCAGATTCAAACCAACAACAACACCAATTCCAAACAAGAAACAACACTCCAACAAAGCCCGAAATGTTTTGTAAACCCAACAGCAAAAATCAATACAAAAAAAACTCAATTGAACTTGAAACAACTCTCTCTTTATACAGAGACAAACTCTCTCTATATCCTTTTCTGGTTTTAAACTCTTGGGTCTCTGCCTAGTTTTCTGATTCTAAACTCTTGGTTCGACCACAAATCCCCTATATTCTCTGATTCTTTATGTTGCTGAAAACTAAAGGGAGATAGATTTTTTAGAGAGGCTTTGATGGCTGAAACTCTTTTGAGTTTTTCAGGGGTCTCCTCCTTTTTTTTTTCTTTTCAGGTCTGCCCCTTTATCTATAGAAGGGAAGAAAACTGCCCTTAAAGACAGGCTGCCTAGGGCTTAAAATATGCCTTAAAGGCTGTCATCTCCACTTAGGATTGTCTAGGCATGGGGTTTTCTTCTACTTTAAACTGTTGAAATTCAGAAAAGCAGTGGATACCCTGCTGTACAGTAGGTTCCACTACCATTCTCATGTGCATCTTCAACCTTTTATTATTAAACTCAGTTTACACCTGACTTCTCATCTGTAAAGATGTCAGCCAAGGTGTATTTGCACTATAGATTATTCTAATGGTTCAACCATACTCAAGCTGGCAGTCCACTTAACTTAAACTCTGAAATTTCCATTAAGATTTCAGCTATAACCAATCCTTAAGTGATTTCTGACTTAACTTGACATATTATAAACAGCTATACTCAATTCGTAGTTGGATTCAAACAATGCCTTAGTGAGAACTAAACAACACAAGTCATATTAATTTCTATTCCAAACTGAAACCGATTGACGACATATATCGAATCGACTACGCGAATTACGGCACATTCAATCAATACCAAATGAATCAGAATCGATTATTAACAGGGGGTGCTAATTGTACTGTCAAAACAAAGGTTTCTCTCGAAACTAATTGATCGACCAAATTCATTTTCAATTGATTATATAGTTTACACACATACACTCAATCAGTTAATAGAGAAAAGCTCGACCAAATAAAAGGTCCGACAAGGTGGACAGAATAATCGACACAAAAAATAATAAAAAAACAAATCAACTAACATTTGAACACACGAACAAACATTAACAAAACAAACAACATGAACTGGCAAGGAAAAGAAAAATAAATACCTTAAAGAATTAAAAATCGGACTAACCTGTCTCGGATTTTGAATCGAAACTCTTTTGGGGTTGAACGGACTTTAATCGAAGTGTTCTATTAGACCCCAACCTTCTCGTTTAATTGGACAAAAACCTCAGATTCTGGATTTCTAGGGTTCTTAGGGCGGATTTGGGACTCGGGGTTTTCTGGTTAGATTCGGACCAAACCAAACTTGGTTTGGTCACGAGGGAGGTCAGGAGGGTACCTAGTATGGATTCGGGGGAGTTTGGCACAGGTTAGGGTCCGGCTCGAATCTTCAAATGAAGATTCGAGACGGTGGGGGAAGATTCGAGACCTATGGTTGGTAGATCCGTGTTCAGGGGGTCGAGGTGTACTAGGGGTGTTAGTCTGGTGGTCACCGGCGTTGTTTCCGCCGGGTTTACGGTGAGGGAAAAGGAGTGCGGCGCTAGGGTTCTAAGGGGTTTGGGTTCAACGAAGGAGACGAAGAGAGGGAGGGGGGTCTGGCTTAAGGCGCGGAGGTGAGAGGGAAAAGCTTATATACGGGATGGATGAATGAATCCCAGCCGTTAGATCTAATGAGATCAACGGTTTGGATCGCTTTACTTATTTAAAACGGGGTCGTTTTGGTCTCTGTGGGGATTGGGTCGTGGATGGTGCTGGGTCGGGTTGGCTGAGATGGGTTAGGGTTTGTGATCTTGGCCGTTGATCATTCTGAGATCAACGGCCCAGATCAAGCATAATCAAGACGACGTCGTTTGGACGTCCCTGAGGCCAACTAATCTGGAC